ACCACTGTATGCACAGCCAAGACCGCTCTGGAGTTTCAGATTCCTGCACATCACCACACGCGGACATGCAGCGCAATGACAGAAGCAGCTCAAATGCAATAGGTCCACGGCTGGATGCACCATCTTTCCCCGAGCCCTCATTTTTTCCCCAGTATTTGGCTGTTGTTAATGAATGGCACCCACATTCATCAAACTTGCATTAGGCACAATTTTAGACATTATCCTTAATAACCTTCCTCTTTTTCCCCTCCAAATCTAATCAAGCCTGTCTATTTCACCTCTCAGATCTGCACACTCATCCCTATCTCCACCAACCTAATCTCATCTTTTTTAAAACAGTCCGTTTATTCATGAAAAATCTAGTTTATAATACCTATATATGATTTATTCTTTGCTACCTCTTTCCGTCAGCCAAGCTGTGTCCTTTTCTCTCTCAAAACTAGTTCTGGAATCTTCACTCATTAATCCAATCCAATATGATTCCTTTATTGGTACAAAACAAAATTACAGACTGAGGATAACGGCTTTCTCAGCCCAATTGTGTTATGGACGCCAACTGAACTGTGGTTTTCCTGTCCTTAGTCCATTGCAATTCAAATGTACTGATTCTTTCCTTTAACAATAGATCAAGTAGTGAGTGTATCTATGAATATATTCCTGCTTCATGACTCAGATTACATATTTTTCAGCTATTTTTATTTCCCAAGGCTGTAAATTTCCCACAGCCACATAAAGCTGAACATTATTTGTTTTAGATTTACCTTTTTCAGTTATCAGTCACCATTCTCAGATTTGGTAAACACAGTTTTCATAACTATCTAGCTCACAATTTTAAAGAAACCTATAAAAATTAACACACAGATCACACCCTTTGACCCTTCTTACAGGGCACCTCTTCATAACTGTTTTTGTGAGTTTCCATAATAATATATCCCATAGACAGGATATGCTCAAAATACATTCAAAAGAGGAAAAGGGGCCACACTGTGCACAAGAGGCTGGCCTTCTGCCTTTAGCACCAGGATCGCATATGGGCACCAATTCAAGTCCCAGCTACTCTAATTCTGACCCAGCTCCCTATTTGAGGCCTGGGAGGGCAGTGAAGCATGGCTCAAGTCCTTGGGCCCCTGCACCCATGTGGGAGACCTGAAGGATGCCCCTGGCTTTTGGCTTTGGATCAGCTCAACTCTGGCTATCGTGGTCATCTGGGGAATAAACCAGCAAATGGAAGACCTTTTGTCTTTCCCTATCTCTGCAACTCTGCCTTTCAATTAAAAATAAAATAAATTTTTAAAAAAGAAAGGATAAGGAATTCTGCTTCTGCATGAAACCAACAAATGCTAAAATGTAAAAAGAAAAACCCACAATTTCTCAAATAAATTATCTCCACTTTGTTTTAAAAACTGATGCTTGGAATGAAATGAGAATGAAGAACGGATGCCCGGTGTAGGGGAGAGACTGTATCAGAACACTTGGCTGCTTTCAATGAAGTCCAGCTCTTCTTGAATGGAACCACTGAACTGCTGCCAGCAGAGGAAGCAGAGGAAGCAGAGAAAATCGGAGGTTTGCCAAATACTGGCAAAAACCAGAGAGACGTAGGTCAAGTTTTTACAAAACAGAGAGAACTGCTACAACAGTCCAGTATACTTGACACTGATGCTTTTCAAAATCTGAAATATTTACTCAAAAACGACATTTACCTTGTGAAACTAACCTGAGCTATATCAGACTAATTTCCTTTTTTTAAAATAAAAAGCTCATAAATTAAAACAGCAGCAGTAAAAACTGAACTGTGTTAATAGGATTTGAGCAAGTTAAATGATCAGATTCTTAACTATATACATACGGACAAGATAATGTAACTGGGTAATGGTATGATCAGATGGCTAATCATTGTTGGAAAAAGTCTTCATTAATGAATGAATGAATTGTTATGAACCTGAAGGGCAGTTCTACCAGCAAGCTTCAGGACTGTGTCAGTGGCCTTATCCTGTTCAGCAATTTTATCAGTAATGCAAGGAAGACGTGAAACATTATCAGTGCCCAACAATGAAAGAAGGGAGGGGGTGGTAAATACAGATGACGAAACAGGGTCAAAAGCACAGCGAGACAGAAAAAATGAACTAATACTAATATAATAAAAAGTTTTTTTAAATGAAGAGAAACCTTAAGATGTCACTGTCTTTGTATAAAACAGAAGATGAACAGTAATCTTCCTTTTAGAAATGCTTACAACTCTAAACAGCCAATAGCCTCTTAGATCTGCGGTTGGCCTCAATGCACTAAAGCCACAGCACAGTCTTCTTTGTAGTATTAACCTGTTTCTGGACAATCGGCTTAGTCTGCCCACCACAGCCACACTGCTCCCGATGAGCCTGTGGCTCTCCCTGGGCACACAGTGACTCTCTGGCCTTGCTGTGCCGTGACATATTGTGCGGCTGGCACTTGCCACATTTCTTACAGAAGGTTCAGTAGGTACTAGGAATGCTCACCATGTTTGCCAGAGCACTTACCAGTACCAAAAGAAAGAGCTAACAAAAGGAAATTGAAGAGGCAAAAAGAAATAAAGGATCAGCATATGTGTCTAAAAACATAGGGCCTGGCGTGGTAGCTTAGCAGCTAAAGTCCTCACCTTGCATGCACCAGGAAACCATATGGGCGCCAGTTCTAATCCCGGCGGCCCTGCTTCCCATCCAGCTCCCTGCTTGTGGCCTGGGAAAGCAGTTGAGGACGGCCCAAGGACTTGGGACCGTGCACCCACGTGGGAGTCCTTCGTGCATGAGGCTCCTGGCTCCTGGCTTTGGATCAGCTTGGTTCCAGCAGTTGCAGCCACTTGGGGAGTGAATCATCGAACAAAAGATCTTTCTCTCTGTCTCTCCTTCTCTCTGTATATCTGCTTTTCCAATAGAAATAAATAAATCTTTAAAAATAACTTATATAAATCTAACTTTGAGATGGGCAAGCTATGTCTTAATTGCCATATCCGTTAAAACAACAACAACAACAACAAAACTAGTTCAATGGCTTTAGTTGACAGCAAGCTTAATTCAGTCTGAAAGTAGCAAGCCCAGCCTGTGATGTGCATATCAGAAAAACGAAGACGCTGCAGTAACAGCATCTCAGAAGCAGGAGGGAGCAGAATTGCTCAACTCTGGACTTAACCAGACCACAACTGTGACAGGGTGTACTCTTCAAGGGGTCCCAGCCTTCCAAAGGTCATAACCAAACTGGCCAACAATCAAAACAGGACAGCTAGGAAGCTGAGAAGGCTGTACATTACTCCATAAAAGGAAAGGAGAAAGGGGTGAAGATTCAGAAATACAATCAAACAATGTCTTGATGGGGAAATGATGACCCTCTTCCTTTAGTCCTTGCAACATGATTTTCAACTCTATTTCAGAAAAGACATGTCAAGAATAATTAAACAGAAGATGATCCCTGCTGGGAAGACATTCCTATGGATATTTACCTATGTGAACCTGAAGTGTTAAAACAGCCAGGATCTAAAAACAGGATTCCACTATTGTAGGGGGGTTCACCAGGCTCAAAGAGGACCAGTGCAAGATGCAAGCAAGAACTGATTTCAGCTCCATCTAGGGAGGAGTATTTGAAGAGTCAAGGTTGAGGAAGCTGCCCATCAAGACGGCAAGGTTGAAGTCTGCAATGGTGTACCAAGAAAAGACAGAGCTGCAATAAAACAGGCCCTGACTGCCCATCTGTAAGACGCCTGACATTCGGCCCTCAGAGGCAGTGTTTCCCCCAAATGTGGACAAGGGCCAGATTCCTGGCGCTGGTGCCTTTCGGCACGCCAGCTTTCCTGTCTCTGTGACTTGCAACCCTGCAGCCTGTCCTCCCCCAAGGCAAGGCTTCCTAATTGGGAACAGACCTGAGCACAATATGGACAAGGAGACACCGGAAGACACTGACCCATCGGCACCCCGCAACACACACCCACACACCCACAAACCAATACTGCTTCATGTGCCTTGGATTAGCAAAGGAAAAACAAGGAGTCTATATCTTCAACTCAAAAAATCATATAAAAATACCCAATGATTGTTCAATTGCTTTAGAGAAGGATTGATTATGTACTGCATCTCCGGTTATAAGCCATTTTTTTTTCCTGACCAAGAAGGCAAAAAAAAAAAAAAAAAAAACAAAACTTAACCTTAGACCACTTGGGAAATTTGTGTCCTAAACACTCCAAAACATTCTATTAAAATGTGTCAACTAATATTACAAGATATTTCTAAGAAGAAATGATCTACTGGGTACATCAGGCCAAATAGCATGAATACATCAAATTGTGGAATTCTGACTAAATGGCTAATTAAGATTTATCTGTTTACACATCACAGACAGGATAAATATAGAGATAGGACCTAGACCATTAAATTCTGGCTTAAAAAATCGACTTGAGATTATACAAGCTTACATTCTCCCATTGTATCTTGTAATTGTTATAGAAACTCATAGGTTGGCAGCAGTTGGGTATGTAAAAGGAGTTCACCCTTCCAATGTGTTAACAGCAACTTCGTAGAAGCAACCTCCCACACTTAGAGCCTTCTCAATAACACACTGAAAGGCACACAATTCGACTCCAGGGGCGGTTTTACTTTAAATTGCACCCCAGGAGAGAAACCAAAGTGAAAGGGCCAAAGAGGGAACCTCCATCGTCACCTCCAAGAAAAAAGGCTTCTCCTCAACTCCACCTGCTCTGCCATTTCCTTCCACGCTGCCCCATCCCGGTCATCTGCAAGAGGTGAGGCACACACCCCGACTCCAGCCCGTCCAGGACCAGCACGTTTTAGCTGGAGAAGTGGCTCCGGCCGGACTGCCCCACCAGCCGCCCCGTTGCCAGGGCACTGCCCACCAGAGCCGCGGGCAGCCCTGGCCCGGCGTGGGACACCATGAACCCCGCAGAGCCCGCAGCCCCACGGCGACCACCCAGTCCCCGCCGCGACCCCGGAAGGAAGGCGCGGACACGCCACTCGACTTACAGTGACACCATCCTAGGTGACAGCACCAGTGCAGCTTGAAGCACTTGCCATGGCTGTGCGTGGCACAGATGGACAGCCCGTCGCACGGCTGGAAGTCGGGTCTGCGGGCCGCGCAACTCCGCGCCAGGGCCTGCGCCTCGTCCACTTTCTCGCTCTTCCAGCCCCGCTCGGGCGCGGGCGCCGCCGCACTCATCTCCGCGTCGGCGCGGACCCCCGCGCGGCAGCCGGGACGGGCGGCGTCCGGCCGGGCACGGCCGAGCGAGCAGGCGGCACTCGCTGCGGGGCGGGCGCGACCCGGCGGGCAGCGCGCGGCGCCTGACGAGCGGCGGCTGAGGAGAGGAGCGGCCGCGGGCTCGTGAGGAGCCGCCCCGGGCCAGCGGGCGCAGCGACCGCGGCCCAGCCTCCGCCGCCTCCTCCCTTCCGCCCTCCGCCGGGCGCGCCCCCCGCGCACGCGCGCACGCGCCCTGGGCGATCCCGGCCCGGCTCCGGCTTCCCTCGCCGCTTTCCGCCCGGGGCGCCTCGGCACCGCCCGCCCGCGCGTCCCGCACACGTCGCCCGTGCCGGCGCGTGAGGAGAACGGACGGACGCTGCCCCAGGCGCGCCCCCGGGCGCTGTTCTCTGTCACGCGCGCCCCACGTCCCCTCAGTCGCAGCTCCCCCAGAGTCTGTGCCCCGAGACCCCGGGAGGTGCCCAAGCTCACGAGATGTCCGCGGCTGCGTCCCGCTGCAGCGCGCCGGGGGTGTCACTGCTGACTCGCCCTTGAACCTTGGGGAGCGGCAACACGACCCAGAGGGCTGCGGAGGGTGTGAGCCTGAGAGAGAGAGGTGTTGTTAGGTGCCTTAGGTGATGTACGAGTGTGTTCGTGATTGCTTGTTGTGTGTGTTAATGACGTACGTATGTGTGTGTGCAGGTGAGTGTGATTGGCATGTACATGGATGTGTTGGCGTACACGAGGGAAGTTGGGTGCGTGTGCACCCACAGACGGGACTCCTTGAGCCTTGGCCCTGACTTCGAGGTGGAGGGCGCCCTGGCAGGCAGGTGTGACTGCCCCTGCTGGTGGCCCGGGCTCCCCTGCAGTCCCTCTGTATCCATCTCTCCCTCCCGGGACTAGTTGCTGGAAATAGATTTTCCCTGCCAGGCTCTGCTGCTAACAGCTGACCCCAGGCTGGATTCTGAGAGAGAAAACAAACAATTTGCTCCCGGAAAGCACTGTTGGGAGTTAGTATTTCCCTGCCACGAGGTCAGAACCAACAGTGAACACGGAAGAGGCGGGGACAGAACTCTCCTGATGGCTGGTCTTCTCTCAGACTCCCTGGCCTGAACAGGCCTCTGGGACTGGCGAGGTCTCAGCACAAATGCTTCTCCTTCGCATTAGCCTTTTTCCTGCTTAGTGTTGACAGCAGCCTTCTCGTGCTTTCAAAATTACCAGATTTCATCTTCCAGCCCTGCATATCCTCCCTACTCGAACCAAGCTTCCTAATTTTTCTTTTGTTTAACCTTGGCTCAGGAAGGAAAAAATCATCCGTGTATGTCAGGGTCTGTTGAAATCTTCGCTTATTAGGTGTTTGCCAGAGACTTGATTTTGGCAGTAAAGCTGTTTTTGAGAAAGGTCTGAATTAAAATCACAAAATGTGGTTCCATTAGTAACCCAACAGTGAAACAGATGTAATTAAAGCGTCATCTCTTCAGCTCTCTCTCCAAATACTTATGCCCTCAAAAGAAAAAAAAAAAAAAGCCCTGAAATATGTCCCTAACTCATAAAATTCCATGCATCCTGACGATGCATCCACAGTCTGACCCCCTATTAGATAAACACGAGTAAAAGGAAAACTTCAAAGAAATCTACACTCGGCTATTACTGAAGCATGCCAACAGAGAATTTTAAAAGGAGGGATTTCCACCCATCCTATCCTATTTTTCTCCTTCCCCAACTTATAATTCATCCTATTGCCATTTAACAGAAGTCTTCAAAACATTATCCTTTCAGTAACATTTTACTTGCATTTGAACAGGATCCTTCCAGGTCTTTTAATCTAGGGTGAACTATGTGATTAGATTTTTATAGTAGATGAAACATACTGTCTTAACTAGCAAAGAAGGTGTGTAAGCCAGGACATACTACAACTCTTAAGCCAGCTGATGAGGTACATTGCCTAAACACCCTTTTTGTTTTAGCCAAATGATGTGACGTCAAAAAGTCTTCACAGTTTCTGCACCGGGAAACTCATGCCATTCCCATGCCCTCAGTATGTTGCATGGTGCCACACACATTAAGCTGCAACTTGTGATGCCCACATTCCATATGGGCCATTTGGGGAGTGAATCAACTCCCCCCACCTGCCTCCTGTAGCTCTACTTGCCAAGTAAATAAACAAATGTTTTTATTTAAAAAAAAAACTGGTATAAGGCTCCATTAAAAAAAAGATGGTATTGATTTCTCTTTTGTGGTATGCAGCAATAAGATGCAAATGAAATGACTTCTCAAACACACGCACACACACACCCAGTTCCTTCAGATACTTTTTAGATTTTAAATCTATCATCTTGCTTTCACAATTATTAACTCATTTAGAAAAATCATTTCATCTACTATTCCAACCCACTTCCAACTCTCACCCTGCCACCATATCCAAAATTACAGCCTGGACATATAATCTTATGCATGAATACTTCAGTGTATATCCTTGCACAAATTTAGCCAGGCAGGGCAGGGGGAGATTTTATTTTATTTAGTTGAAAGAGTGACAGATGCACACTCAGAGCACACTGGCCCCTAAGGAAACTTGAGCAGACCATACCTCACAACACCATTTCCTTGGAGTAGGACGCTTTTTGATCATGAATGTGAACTTGTTCTATACTGCTGGCTACCTCCTCTTTAAGAATGCACTGATCTGCCTGAGCTTTGTTATTTTCTTTCCTGCCTTCTCTTCTCTGCCTGTTTCCTCGGCTTAAGGGGCACTTCCTCAAGGCAGCTCTCTCTGACCAACCCATATGAAATTATACATGCCCTGCCTTCACATCCCGTGAAACAACTTGAAACACGTGAGTAAAGGAGGGATTATTGAGCCAACATCTCCCCCCCACTTGTTCCCTCTGCAGCCACGAACTGCAGTTCTTTCTGAGCAGGAACACAGCCTCAGTCTTGCTCACCATCTCGGTCCCAGGACTCAGCACCCAGGAACATGTAGATGTTGAAGCAATTAAAAAAAAAAAAAATCCCACCTGATACTCCAAAAGGCTGGGATTGTTTTTCTTTGTAAAAAGTTTATTTATTCATTTAAAAGGCAGAGTTAGAGAGAGACAAGGAGATCTTCCATCCACTGGTTCACTTCCCAAATGGCCACAACAGCCAGGGCTGAGCCAGGCTGAAGCAAGAAGCCTGGAACTCCATGAAGGTCTCCCATGCAAGCAATAGGAACCCAAGCACTTGAGCCATGTGCTGCTCTCAGGAACATTAACAGGGAGTTGATGAGAAGTAGAGTGGCCTGGACTCAAATCAATGCTCCAATATGGAATGCCTGTGTCACAGATGGCAGCTTAATTCACTATGCCACAATGCCAGTCATGGAGATTTCCATCCTTGGTAAACTATTTGCGAAGTTGTGGGAATAATTCATATAGTAAATCTTCTTGTAGCTACACGCTTGGTAGGCCCCCTCATACTGACTCTGTGCCTTAGTTCTGTGTGGTAGTTTTCTAGTGTGTCACAATCACCCGTAATCACACAACACACTATTTCTGTGAATGAAGAACCCAGGTGTGATTGGGGCTCCAGTGATTGCAATGAATGTGTTGGCTAGGGCTGTATTCTTACGTGAGGATTCTGTTGGGGAAGGAGCTGCTGCCAGGCCCACTGGCCCACTGCTTCTTGGCAAGCTCCATTTACTTAGGAACAGGGAGTTGATGAGAAGTAGAATGGCCTGGACTCAAATCCATGCTCCAATATGGGATGCCTGTGTCACAGATGGCAGCTTAATTCACTATGCCACAATGCCAGTCATGGAGATTTCCATCTGATGGACAGGGTTCCATCTCTCCCTGGTCACTGAACCTCTCCCAAAAAGAGTTCACACATGCAGCTTGTCTATAAGAAGAGTCAGAGAGTGCCTAACTGTTCTAAACTAGCCCCAGGAGTAATATTCCATCACTTTTGCAGCGTTCTATTCGGTGGAAGTAAGCCAATAGGTCCAGCCCTACTCAGATGGAGGAGATCACACAGGGGCAGGAATAGCAGAACACAGGAATCACTGCGAGCCATTTTACCAAGTTTCTACTGCACTTGGTGTTTTGTTGTAGCCAAGGGGAGAATAGCAAAGAATGCCTTGTGAAGGCTGACGAAAAGCAAGCTCTTTGGGGGTCTGCCCTTTGATTCTGCACACTGAAATCTGGAGACCACATGCATACAAGCCAGAGGATCCTGCTGGAGAAGACAGTGCCTTGTGGAGGATGGAGTGCCCCAGTGGAGGGCAAGCCAGTCCCCAGCAATGGAGCAACCAACTATTAGGGGGATGAGTGAATCTATGCCTAGGTCATCCTAGACCCACCTGCTGATCACAGAAGGAACCCACTAAGCCAGTCCAGATCAAACGAAAGAACCTCCAGAACTAGAGTGGTTATTGTGTGCACCTGCTAAATACACGGTAATTTTTTTTAAAGATTTATTTATTTTTATTGGAAAGTCAGATATACAGAGAGGAGGAGAGACAGAGAGGAAGATCTTCTGTTTGATGATTCTCCCCAAGTAGCTGCAATAGCCGGGGCTGTGCAGATCCGAAGCCAGGAGCCAGGAACCTCCTCCAGGTCTCCCACGTGGGTGCAGGATCTCAAGGCTTTGGTTTGTCCTGGACTGCTTTCCCAGCCCACAAGCAGCAAGTTGAATGGAAAGTGGAGCTGCTGGGATTAGAACCGGCATTAGTATCCTGGTGTGTTCAAGGCGAGGACTTTAGCCTCTAGGCCATGCTGCTGGGCCCTCAGACAAAGGTTCTTAAATAGCAAATGTTGACTAACAACATCCACCAGTCCTCTGAGTTGGAAACAGAATGACTGAGGATCAAGAGCCAGAAAGAGAGCCCAGCACAATGTCTCAAGTCCTTACTTACATCCTGCTGGGTGCTTGTAGCCTACTCTGTTGCCCACGCTTCAGGACCTGTGCTGCCTACCACTGGGTAGCTGAAGTAGTGCCAGGCATCATGTTGGGCACCTAAGAGGCAAACTCTACACATGCCTTCCAATGAGCACATTA